TATATAATAATAACAATAATAATAATAATAATAATTATTATTATTATTATAATAATAATAATTATTATTATAATAATAATAATGAAGATGATGAAAAATGAAACCTCTTCACTTTTATTAGTTCCAAATGATGTTCATCATTAGTGAATATTGAATGTGTTCTGATTGATTTGCTTTTCAAGGCATTGACCAAGAAAAAAAAAGTAAAAAAAGCAATACACTTTTTTATATTTGACAAATTATTTTTATATAACAAGTTTGTTAAAAAAATTATTAGTACGGGAAAATAAACCAAGGGAAATACTTATTGTTTATCCTAATTTGGGATCAATTGGAGTGAAAAAAGATGAGAGATACGAAGAACAAAGAAAAAATAAATAAAAAAAATTAATAACTGTCATAAATAATGTGATAGAAAAAGAAGTGAAATATGAAGAAAATATAATGAAAATGAGGGGAAAGAAAAAGTAAGTGTATATTTATAATAATTGTTAAAGAAAGAGAGTACATATATAATTAAAAAGATGTAGGAGAAAATAATATTATATAAATAATATGATTTGTAATATTTTTATTAAAGAGAACTACATGAGAGAAAGAAAAAGAAAAGAGAAAAATTTAGGCATATGACGTCATGTAATAATTAAGAGAAATAAATAAATAATAATAATAAGTGTTGATGAAATCTTTGAAATTTAATTTTTGAGTAATGATATTTGAACATCTAATATCTTGGTAAACCTAATTAACACCTATTATTTTCTCTTTTATCCAATCATGTAACTTATTTATATTTATATTTCTCTTTCTTTTAACAATATAAGTTTATTGTATATAGCATTTGGTTTCCATCCATTATTTTTCTTTATTTATTTATATCATCACTTCTAAATATATATGCTAGAAGTTTAAAAAAGTTTTGTCCCAAGGCATTGTATTCTTGGCGTTCTTATTTACATGGTTGAATGCGTGCATAGGGCCCCACCTTCTGAAGCAATGCAGAGAATACTGGAAATGAATCCCTCAAGAATAATTAATCGCAATGGTATCGCTGCTCAGCTAAAACAACGCGGGAGCTTGCAAAATGGAAGGGTAAAAAATCCATAACATTTCTTATCTTTTTAAGGCAACCATGATGACAATGTATAATCTCGTCTGTGAGTTATACAATATGTGAAGCTCTACGCTTTATTGTCAACAGGGTTCTCGAAATCATGATTTTAGGAAGCAACTATTGACATTGAAAGAGGTAAAACATATAATCTTTTGTTCAATCACAAAACAAGCATAGTTCCCTCGATCTAGATGTTCTCTTTTTTGTGTGCATGTGCATAGTGTTTTCTATTTTACTTAAAAGTTGAAACATTATACATATTTGGGGAAGGGAAAAAAAAACTAATTATTGAAGGTTGCACAACAGGGTTATCAGCCGCCACGTCGTGGTCGTCCCCCAAAACGACGTGATGTAGGAGAGTCGTCTTCTTCTCAACGTGGAAAGGTAACCTTTTTACCTAGCCACGCATGCAAGTGTGAATACATAAAGTGTAAAAAATTCCCCCCTTTAATTAATAAAAATAATTATTTGTATAACTTTTAACATAATTATTATAAAAATTAATAAATTTTTTTATATAAGTTGGTTTTTTTTAAATGACTTTGTAAAATTATTATATATTGTCACTTCTTTTATATGTGTGTTGTTTCATCATGTTACTGTGACAAAAAATGTGTTGGGCCAGAATGAGATTATGAGGTTCTTGTGGTTTGGTTTGTTTTGAGTTGTTGCAGAAGGTTTCTACAGGAGCAGGAAAAGCTGATCAAAGAAACCCTATACCCCAAGAACCACCAAAGACTAATCCTGAAATTGCAGTGAATAGAGATCTGCAGATCCAGAATGACGACATACCCATAAACCCTGACGCCGAGCTTAGGTAGACTCCGCAGCTCAAAAGCCAATTTCTCTGATGCTTTTTTTGCCATCACTTTCCACATTTAACTCACATTATAACTGAATTTTCATGGTTTTGAATTTTCAGTGAACATGAGAACCTTGTCTATAACATCAAATATGAGAAGCGTGGTTACCCCATTGACCCCCATATTAGATTATTCAAAGCATCACAAGGTAATAACAATTCTCTAAACCATACGCTTTTATTTTTAATTTAAAAAGAAATACCAGTTTCTAATATGCAGAAATTCGATACTAGTAAGTTGTCTTGTTATCGAGCAATATTTTAATTAGTTACTGTGAGTTTATATCATTACTGTAGAAAATTCATATTACAATGCAGTACTACATTGAGCTAAAAGAACTTCAGAATTTATGATGAATGGTGATTTTCTTTATGT